AAATCTATATTTTTTGTTAAACCCTCTTATTTGTGCAATAGAGAAAATGCCAGTCAGATTTTACATGCCATTATTCTTGCTTTGAAATGGATTTTAAATCACTTCTTGATATTCATATGGAAAAGTTCTTCATTGACCATTTTCTTGTAGCTGCCACTCCCAATAATGTAACAATAAAACCAAACCCCCTCAGATTGTCTTGAGCCTTCAAACTATAAATGTTTGAAACACAGAACAGATGATAACCAAAAGGGACTTTTTCTAACATCGGTGAATTTACAGTAGGGATTACTGATAATTTTGAGCACAGTTTTTACTTCTGGTTACTTACTGATAATACCCAACTGATTTGTAGAGACTAAGGTTCAGGTATTTGACTGTACAGTACCTCTAAGACAACAGGAGGAAGTTCAAGAGCCTTTTGGTAGTAGTGGATTGCCAAATGCACTAATCCCAGCTGATGAAGGCCACGGCCAAGGTTATAGTAAGATTCTTGACAAGGTCCACGGATGCCCAGATAGCGGTGAAGGAAAGAGAATCCCTGCACACACACATTACAAACAAACAGCATAAGGTTTTGGTTTTCTCTCTTTGCAGAAAGTGTTTTTTCCATAAAGAATCAGCTCACTTGAGGCCACAGGGAAAAACAACTCATTGTTTCATACCACGGGAGAGCCAGAGCCATATTTTCATAGCCTCCAGAAGGTTCACATGGTGAGAGGACTTGTGCTAAATTGTGGCTAGCTGTTCTGAAATAGTATTATTTACATCTATCATGCTTTAAAACATCACCCTGTGTTCACTGGTGGGGGGAGGTGTCTTTCAACCCTTACCCTTTTTACAGCTCACTCTTACTTTGTTGTTTAGCAGTAAAGAAACACCGTTTTGATTCAACCAATCCTGGCTGCAGTCCACACAGAAGAACATAGGATTATTCCTGGAATGCAAACACATTTCTCCTCAGACCCTTGTAAAAGCTCCCGGAACACCAGCAACCTTCAGCAATGACCAATTCTCAGCATACGTTTGCCAAATGACAAACCAGAAAAATGAATAAAAGGGAAGATGGAGCTAAAGGCCTGGGTAACACAGAGGCTAAATAGTAGAAGGGTCCAATCTTAATGCTACTGAGGCCAGAGGGAGTTCTGCCAGAGAACCACAGTCTGGTGCACAACTAGAAATCGAACCTAGAATAGTAATTCCTTCTACTACACTAACCCCTCTATAACTTCAGTAGACTTGTTGTTCTTTAATTTGTTACTTTAGTTCCTTATTTCTCTGTTTTACCCCCTTTTAAACTAAACACAGTCTATACCAGGGGTTGGTAACGTTTTTGGACAGTGTCAGAAACCCGCAACCTTGGCTTGTAAGATGCTGGCGTGCCAGGGGTGGACACTGGGGGAGCTGCAAGGGGCCTGATCCTTGTTGTGGCAGTGCAGCCCTGGCCCCCTCCGCAACTGTCCACCTTGAAGTGCACATGCCAAGCAAAATGCCTTTGCATGCCATGCTCTGGCACCTGTGCCGAGGGCTGCCTACCCCTGGTCTATATGCAGTGAATTCTAGCTCAGTTCACTATAAAAGGAAAGACATTCTTAGCAAGCTTTCAGGCGCAATCACTCTTCTTTGGTCATAGGAAGTCTCTGCTGTTCTGAGACTCCAAGGAATGAGAGAAACTAAAACATTTTTAGCTTCTCTCACTCCTTGGAGTCTCAGAACAGCAGAGACTTCCTATGCCTTAAGAAGGGTGACTGCACTCAAAAGCTTGCTAAGAACTTTTTTCCAACTACTCAGTTGGTCTAATAAAAGATAACACATCTACTCAAAGAACCTTGCCTGCCTACGTCCTTAGACCAACACAGCTACAACCAAAAACCCTACTAAAGGAGAACAACTAGAAAGGGAACAATACTCAATCTGAGCTGCCCGACAGACTATTACTACAAATACAACACTAAGCCATGTAGTTCAGCTGTCAGGATCTGGGTTCAGCCCCAGGCAAGGGCGGTGAGTTTATACTCACTGTTTCCCTTTTACCATGGCCCTGAAGCCCATCCAGCCTCCTATCCAACTGATATCAGGAACAAACTGGAGGTAAAGGTGGCTGGAGCATGGTGCTAACCAATCATATCCCCATGCTGAAGTTAAAGATACAGTGCAGCCCTCCCCCTCTACTGCCCCAGTGAGCCAGAATGGCCTGTAGTGGAACACGTCACAGTGATGGGGCAATGTGGAAGAAGCCAGCATTACCCACACAGATTGAGAAAAAAGAACACAGGACTGGGAACTAATCCAACCTCTGCCACCAACACACACTACCAACCTAGGAAAGCCATTTAGCTTCTCTTGAGCCTTTCACCATATGAGGACACTGTGAGTATTCATTAGCTAATGTTTGTTCACTGCTATAAAGAAGGCCACTGGGACGAGAGTCACCTCCTAGAGATTAAAGTAAAAATAAGATACTGAGTATAGCCGTTTTAGACTGAAATCCATATGGTCTTTTTAGATAAAAGGAGTCCTCAGGAAAAAAAAATCAAATGGGATTAAGGAAAAAAGGGAGAATTCGAAAGGGAACTACTGCACAGTGGAAACAGAGTTATGGTTCATTTTGTTATCACTTATGAATGTGCTGACTTGGCTGTAACTAACAGCCTTTGATTACCAATATTGCCTCTAGAAACAAAGATAGTTCCTTCAACATGAGGAATTAGCTCCAACACACCAGCTCATCATGATAATTTGGAGCACCCCTACATCATGTCTGCATGAACCACTGAACAGACAGACTCAGGACAAACTAAGATTAAAAGAAACCTTCAATGTGGGTGAAAAAGAACTGAGAAAAGCAGACACACAGAACTGCAGGACCAGAGGGTGACACAAATAGGACATTTTCCAAATACGCTGTAAAAGGAGAATGTCAGCAGCTAGGAAAGACAGGGTTATTATAAGGAAAGCAGTAGCTAAAAATATTAAAATTAGGCCACAGTTTGGTATCTAAATAAGTGAGCTGATTTTAGAGCAAGTGCCTGCAACTCCTACTGAAATCAATGGGAACTGTAAGCATTCAGTGTTTCTAAACAAAAGCAAGCCTCTTAAGTGGCCAGCTTTCCACCCCAAATCTGAACATAGCTGCCTCACTTGGAAAGGAGAGGAAATTTTAAAAATCCTCAATTTCCAGGGAAGAAATTATAAATATTGGAGGCCACTAACCCAAAACCATCAGATCTATTATGGGTCTGGGCCCAGCTCTGGCAAGTGCAGAAGGTGAAGGGACTAGCTAAAAGGGAAAATGGTTACAGTGCGTTGTGCTGGAACAGCAATCCAGAAAGAGGATCACAGGGTTCCATCTTTGGCCTACTTTCTGAATCAGACCACACCAAGCCAAGAATGACCATAAATAGTTACAACAGCTCAGAAAAAGTTAGAGGGAAAAGAACAATTCCTTCACAATGTAGCATACAAGATAATTATGTGTATCTACACGAGGATCCTAAGAAAAACATAAACAGAAAAATTTGACCGATCAGATCAAAAACAACCAACCAAATGAGTTTAGTTGCTCTTTTCTAAGAGCATATTTTTTAAATACCTTTTATTTAAAAAATAAATAATTTTACAGATAATCTGTCCATTACATGATCTAATGCAGAGAGATTATCTACACAGTGTCTGTACAAATTTGCATGCCTATATGACAGAGCAAAAACATTCCATAATATCAAAAATAGGAGCATTTTAAAACCACTGGACAAGAGTCCCTAAAGCCTTCAGAGCAAAAATTCAGGGTTTCTCAGTCAGAATTTTACAGATCAAAGCAAAACTGTTCACAGAGTCCAACCTTGTTTCAATGGACACTGAGGGCACTCAGTCAGCATCTTGCAAATCAATCCTTCAATGATTCACTAGAGAGTGCTCAGTGAGTAACACTCCCCATAGCTTTAAGTACCAACTTTTAAAAATACTCAGAACTAACTGTAAGAATCAGTGAAAATCTTTGATCCTCATTCTTAGATGTTAACTGGTTTCCAGAACTGGTCTAACTATTCATTAGATTCTATTTTTATTTTTTTGTTAGTGAAGCATTCAGGGGTGTCTATACATGTCCAGGAAGGCTGCTCCGACACACTGTAATTACAGTGCATCGAAGCAGCCTTGATTAATCGAGTCTGGTGGAGCATGGTAATTACCACGTTCCAGCAGACTCTAGCGTTACATGCATCAGTGTCCCCCATGCTGAAAAATGGCAGCAGGGGTGCTTTAACAAAAGCTCATTCAATGAGATTTAGTTAAAGTGCCCCCATCACCATTTTTAAGCATGGGGACACTGATACACAAGACGCTCCGGGCACTTTAGAGCTCTTACAGCCGCTGTAATTAAAGCGCCTTTCTCCTCCCACTCCTGGAAAATGTATATAAACACCCCACGGGTCCTAAATGATGATCTTCCTATGCATTTACCATTGTAAGGATTCACTAAACATTCTGGACACAATTTTCAAAATATGCCTATTTGTTAAGTATTTGCTCCAACAATATATCATTTATGTTACATGGCTAGTTACCCATGTCACATGACATTGTTCCTGCTATCTATTCAAGAGGGTGACCCTTTCTACAAGTGGAACAGTGAATAATGCCTTTCCAGGACAATGTTTCAGCTGCATAAACATCAATACTACAGCCAATGGAACTAATATTTTCTTAAGTACATGGCAGCTGCCTAATACATGGAAATAATTAAGGATTCTACAAACCAGAGCAAAATTGCTTTTACTTACAGAACTGGAGCAGCAGCAGACTGGTCTTGGGACATGTACTCCGAAATTACATGGATATTTTTTAAAATCCTAACCTAAATCCCTTTTTATATTATTCAGTCAGCTCTGATCATTTGTTTCAGCTTTAACTATCTGAATGGAGTAAGAGAGCTAATGAACAATAAATACTACAGACAAATGCAATCATAACAACAGCAACCCCGCTTCCCCCAAACTTACCTGTACTAGAAGAGCATGTCTTTTTAAGACATATTTCTGAGATGCCATATGGATAAAAGTTAAGCCTATGCAAAGGCTGTACAGAGGCTCATCAGGATTGGTACGAAAGGCTTGCACATACTGTCCTAAAAGCAGGAGTAAATGATTTGAGACAGTTTCTCTCTAAAAGCATTTCACTGTATCAAATTTTTTTGGAAGTTTGAACTGAAAAAGGGAACCAGCATAAGGGAATGAATATTGAATACAACCACAATAAAACATGAAAGGAGAACACCAGATGCTACAGCTTTCATGTTTTCAGCACCCTCCTCTACTGCCCCAAGAAAAGTCAGAATTTAAACAGAATAGTCTCAAACACAGACAAAATGGGGTTTTTTTTGTTAGAATTGGGCACATCTACACATGCCCCTGACCACACAGTTGTTACTGCTCAGTCATTTAGTAGTTGCTTTAGGAAGTATTTAATGCCTGCGCAGTAACCACCATTACTGCACAGTCCAGGGGGTGCATGGGTTGTTTCTGACCCTACTGAGCAGTAACTCATTGCTACTGTGTAGTAGCACTGGCATCCCAATTTGTGCCCACTGACACTATGTCACCATAGCTCACCAGTATGGCAAAGTAGCGTCTCGTGTAGGCGTGCCCATTGTAGCTTAGGTGGCAAAATTGAGTGTAATGCGAAGTAGGCATCTCTCAAAAGATTATTAAGAAACTTTTAATTTTTTTATGTTACCACAATCTTGTGTATATTCTTTTTTGAGATCCAGGGTCTCCGAGTTGGTATAAAATGCTGACGCTTCAACATCAGTGGGCCTATCACAGCTAAGGACCTACCTACCATATTTATTTGTGTGCCCCACACAGCCTTTTTTTCCAAAAAATCAGCCTTCCAAAGGTGTGGTGCATGCCTTAAGCAGGGAAACTGATTTTTTCTTTACTGTACTAGAAGCATGGAGATGCAAGACAGCTGCCATGCTTGTCCACCAGCCTCAGAGGGGGAGGGAGTAGAGTTCACCCTTTAGAATCAGAGTTGCAATGTTAACTCTCTCCCAGGTACAGCTACTGCAGCCAGGATCCCCTGCAATCTGCATTCAGCCATGACTGGACATTTATTTTTTCTTCATTCTGCCTTCCCAAAACATGGTGTGTGCATTCTAGGGTGTGTGGTATGCAAGAAAATATGGCACTCCCTGCTTTTTTTTTCCCAATCTGGGGATGAGCTAATGGCCAACTAATTTATTCACTTTCAATTTTGTGTACTTGTTGGGAAAATATTAATTTCCTCAGCCCTAAACTGTGTAAAGAGGCTAGCAAGATGCCAATTCCCTGATTAATTATTTTAACTATTTTCCTAGAGGCTTTATAAAATATTTAGTAAATTATTCTTTGAAAATGTATCTCTTCTAAATTAATCCTGAAACTTTCCTTAGAAGAAATATTTAACACTTCAGATTTGCCATCTCTTTGATACTTCGTGGTTATCAGGAAATGATTTATCATACTGTTCTAATAATAAATTGACCGTGCATAAGTAAAACCCACATTTTTTCCTCATTAAAAGAAAAGAAAAACAGCTCTCCCACCCCAAAATACAAGTCCGTAACTACTACACAGATACTCCTTGAATTGCTGATACATATTTTCATGAATTGGCCTATTCGCTTATGCCCCAATTCTTTTACCAACAAATTAAAATGAGTGAGATACTATGTACTAGTGCCAAGAACTGTATAGTTCATTAATTGCAGCACAAAGCAAATATTAGGGATCTCTGACAAAGGTGATTTTTCTCTTATTCAAAAGGACATATTCCCGCTATGTTGAAAATATATAAAACTGTGAGAAAGTTGATGTAAAGGAATTTGGGAGTATAGCATATAAAATATTTCAGAACGTTGTACTTTTTATTAGTTAAATAAAATAATGACTCACCAAGAGCATGCTTGAAACTGCCAGATACAAATGCATTGTGCCCATTTAGGACACACAGTGCATGATTTTCTGGATTTTTCAACATTAGCCTAAGACAAAAGCGATGGTGTCGTACATCCTGAGACTGCATGGTGACTTGATTGAAGATGTTCCAGAGCTGAGGTTTATTGACATTTTCCATTACCATTATTCTAAAAGGAAGGAAATCACATATTGTGTTGTGTATCTATAGTATGCAATAAATCACTAAGTAAATAGCCTGTAATGAAAAGATCTACAGTTTATTTGAAAGTACCATGTGAATGACAAGTCTAAAATCAATTGACAAATTATTCAAAGAGCCAAGCAGTCCTCACTTATTAGAGTAATTTATTTTGCTTTGATCGGACAACTCATTTGAATAAAGTTAGTAGGGCACATAACCTATACTACATTCCTAACATATAGCGAGATGACCAGATGGTTCACTGCAGAAAAGTGCCATAAAGCAGACAGGGTTTTTTTTGGCAATTAAAAACTGCCAAAAAAGCTCTTTAATTTCACAGACTTATTTGCTTAAGTGGAAATCAATAGATATTCTGGTCCTCTCAGGCCCCTGGCAGACATGCAAGTAAAAGCGCCATGGGATCTGATACAGCATCACCATAATCATACTTCCAGCTATGCCACATGTGCATGGCAGAAGGACTGATTGTAGGATCAAGCATCATATCCCGTCATGTCTGGCACCTGCCAGCATACTGAACCCCCACCCTGGCAGGGAGCCCCATCAGCTGATGGGGCTCCTAGCTGTGGGGGTGCACTATGCTGGCATGATATGAAACTGCTACAATTATTACACATTTTTTGTGTAATAACTTTCTTTTTATTGTGCCATTTATTGATCGAACATGTGGCCTGGGAACAAATTAAGACATGATTGACTGGTTAATCACATCTTAAGGGTCCTGTGTTCTGGGGGCCTTAGAAAAAAAAATCAGCTTGCATGTAATTCTGAAAATCACTGTTCTAATAGCTACAAATGCTCTTAGATGTATACATAAAGCTTCAATGGAAATCATTACAGAATATATGGTTGCGTCAACTACACTAGTGATTCTTACCTGATATAATTATAAGCCTTGCGGAAATTCTTGTCCAGAATTGCAGCTGAAAGACCAAAGTACTCCAGCTCTTTACGCTTTTGCCTGTCATCATAGAACGAATAATACTCCAGTGAAGAATCCACCAACAGCTCTGCTTCCTTGTATCGGGAGAGGTCACACAAGGAGTAAATGGCTTTCAGGAGAAGGTTCCACCAATCGTCTTTTGTCAGGACACTTGTGAGTACAGCAAATATGGCTAAAATAGTAAGAAAGTCAAACAGGCACAGAAAAGAGAGCTGAAGACTACAGATTCTGTTTAAATTTCAACCCAGAGGGTTTTTTTTAACTGTTTTTATATTAAGGGAAAATAATATTAAGTGGATTTTAATTATTTTAAAACAACACAATTTATAGAGTTCAAATTTTAATAAACAATCACAGAGTAAACACTTCATAGTTACAGGGAATTTAAATAATTCAAGCTGGATCAGTACTATGCAAACATGTACGCGTACACTAAAGGCCATCTCATTCACCTGCGAAAGAACTACCTGATCCAGGCTAGTCATAATTTGGAAATTTTGGAAAAACACAGTAGTTTGTGCAGCTGATAAATAGTGGTGTACCTGCAGACTTCTTCCTAAGCAGCACTGTTTGAACAACTCGTTCATCAGGTTCAATTAACTTGCTTTGAAATGAGTGGAAATGTTTTTTTCCACAGAATATTAATACAGGCCTGGTGCCTGCACCATGTCGTGCTAAATGAAAGCAACTCGTTTATAAGTGTACTTTTTCATGTTAGCAACTTGCAAGTGACTTAGGCAATAATTTCTTTGATTTTGGTGGGACCACTCATTTGAGTAAAGTCTGTAGGATCAGGACTTAATTTAGGCAATGTATGAATTAGTTTGTGTGGGGGAGGTGATCTGGCTATCAGTAAAGCTGAGCCAGGGAAAAAGAAATACACATGCCCACAAACCCACCTGTCCTAAAAAAGCCAATGGCCCAGTAGTTAAGATATTAAACTTGGATGAAGGAGACCCAAGTGCTAACTCTGCTCCACATGAAAGAGCAGGGGCTTGAATCTGGGTCTCCCACATTCTAGACAAATACCATAACCACCAAGCAACTGACTATGCTGAAGCAGGCAAACAACATAAAACATAGTCTAACTTTTGATTCAATATGGAACAAAAAATGTCAAATCTATAACATTTTTTCTAAAGAACAGAATTGTATTCTGGTATTACTAATAAAATGGTATTACTATGAATACCATGGATCTGTCTGCAACAAACTCAGTGTCTTTGGTAGGTAAGGAGTTACTATGAATTAATTTATTTTTAACAGATTTTATTACCTTTGGCATCACAGTTTGCTGTCTCTTGGTCATCATTGTCTGATATTTTATCCCTTGATACCTTAATAAGATAAAGGTGTCGCTCCCCAGATTTGGAACTAGATATTAAACACACTTGAGCTCTGTTCATTGCTACCTGGAAACAATTATGAAGACCAATATCGTAATGTTTTTGACTCCGTGAATCACACATCTTGCTCAGTTACACTACAGGAAGCAAAAGCATACTTGACAGTTTTCATAAACAGTGTTATATTTAGCAGTGTTTCATGCTCCAGTGTACACTGGATTATCTAAAACAAGGATAAACACTTTCTGAATATTCTGAAGACTTTTACTGGTCTATTTAGAGTAAAAACACAAGTCCTTCTCTAGTGGCATAACAAAAGGGATGTCATGGTACTAGTACCAAGGTTTTAGAAATAATATCTTGACAGTTGGCTTTGCTGTATAACAGTTTGGAGAAAATGGAAATCTGAATTACAAAAAATAGAAAACAAACAAACAAACAGCCAGAGTTGCAACACTACACTTCCAAATGTAAACATTTTTCCAAAACAAAAATTATTTTTAAGTAAACAGACAAAACAGCAGAAGATTTCAAGGAAAGTTATTGACATAAATTCACTTTGAATGATCTTATTTATAAGTGGGCATTTACAGAAAGACCTTTCCATAATTTACAGTAGCTATGTATACCCAAAGTGATGTGATGTTCTGTTTTTAATTTGTATATTCTGAAATCACACAGAACAATCCTGTAGTCCATCACATTACAACTGGTGGAATTTTTTAAAATTAAATTTTAAAATATGCGAGACTCTAGGTAACTACCAGTAAAAACAAGTCCCAACAATGAGCCCAGAGCTTAAGGCATAAAATGGGAGTTGTTAGTCTTACACAGAACAGAGCAGAATAAGGAACATTTACATCCTAGCTTTTAAAGGTACCGAGAATCCAAAGGCTCACATGGCTTTGATGGGAGCTCTAGATGCTGAACGCCTTTGAAAGATTCAGGCATGCTATTCAATAACATAACTGTATGTCTATTAAACATGCTATTTAATGTATACAAAGCTTCAGTTTACTAATATTCGTCTTACTGTTTTCCTATCTCCATGTAATTTCCTTGTGAAGTTTTCAAGTTAGTTTGTTCTTTGGTTTAAGCAATACGAGTTAACTTACCTTTAAGAGCATGGCTAGCATGGTGAGTAAAGTGTCTACATAGCCATACATTTTGCCTTGGGAATACAACAGTGTTGAACGATGGAGCAGCAGCTTTAATTCCTAGAAAACATGGAACATCATTAATCAAATTTTAAATTCATTCCATGGCTTGCTTTCAAAACTAAGATATTGGCAGTGGGGATTAAATGGATACAGAGAGTATCACATTTTCTCACATACTACATGCACCTGGTTTTCGAAAGGCAGAATGAAAAAAAGACCAAAAAATTTTTTTCCAGGTTCATGGCTAAATTCTTACCACATGGCTGAATTCCACAAAGGCTGAATCTTGCCCAGTGCTGGTTTTAACCCTCTCATAGCTTCTGCCGATTCAGCAGTAGCTTTTGGATGAGTAGTCAAAAGCTGCTGCCCATTTGGCAGAGGTTGTGAAAGGTTTAAAACTGTGACACTCGGCCCTTTCCTCTCAAGCTGGGAAAGGAGGATACCCCCAGTAGTCATTAAAGCTCCCTATTGCATCCTTTAATTCAAGTGCAAAGAATCAGCTTCTCCACTTAAGTGCACCCCAATATTGAAGGGCTGATATAGGGCAGGGTGGAGGGAAGGTGCATATGAGTGAATACAGTAGCTACACTCTTTTTCTTATAATGCTCTCTCTGAAGCCCCATAGGAAACCTTTCACCACTGCTCCCCTTGGGGTACCCAGACTCCAGTACTGCCAGGAAGGTATCTTTAACCAGCATTGCTAGTATATTTAGCAATACATTCTTTACAGAACCATGAACCCCAAAACTGTGGACAAAGGATCCAACACAAAAGACAAAAATCATATCATGCGGCATTTCACCTACCTGCTGGGCAGCATTAGCATCCTGTGCTAGCGTATCTGGATCATACATTGGTTCCAGGGCCTCGAGAGCTTTCTCAGGCCGGCCAAGCTGCTGCTGAAGTGTAGAAAGTGAAATTCTTGCATCCAAATGCAAGGGAGCAAGATCTACAACTTTGGCGTAGCTCTCTGCAGCCCGTTCTACATAACCCAAGGCTTTTAAGCACTCTAAAAATAATGAATTAGATATGGTTACATGGTGTAGAGACCATAACTATTATAATACATATGAAATTAGTTCTGTAGCAAAAATTTACATGTACTTATAATTAGAACTATTTTGAGCATTTGTTACTAAAATAGGAACGTGTACCACCCTCATATTATGCCCTAACAATGTAAGTCACTGTATCGGCAGCATCATAAAAAACTCAACACCTATTGGGGATTAATATGTAAAATGAAAGCTGAATCACTGACATTCATATCTAGGAAGACTAACTATTCTACAGTGAAGGCATTTCAAAGTTTTTTAGACTGGCTAAGGGACACCAATCATGCCAGAAAACCTTGTACTACAAGAATAAATGTGATATTCTCTGATTGTAACTACAGCATGACAACATGTATAATTTATCACATGGCCTCTATATCTTATGTTCAGAGATCCTTCATTAATGGCCTAAAATGTCAATGGGAGATAAGTACACTCAACACTGCACAAGACCTCCCAATACCAGGTCATTAAATCTAATGCTCTTACCTATTAAATACAGAACTTTAACCAGAATTTTATTACACACTATCATATGACGGATGCTACCTTTCAGTATTAAGTAGTTTTGCCATGTTGTTACCTGCATGCCGGAGCCAGACTACAGCCAAGTTATATCTTTCAGAACAGACTAGGGCACTCAAGAGAGGCAATGCTGAATTGTATTCTCCAACATCCAGAAATGCTTCTGCAACATCTAGGTATAAATCCCCCATCTCCTCTGGATTTTGCTCTGCTAGAGTAGTCAAGAGAGGCTTTCCCATAAAACAAGTAGAAATTAAATAGTTATGCCAAACATATATGCATTGCAACCCATTTCATATAGGACCTGGCTAACAAACAGTCCAGTTAACATCTAATATCACACACACTCCACTCTGAAATACAATCTTCCTTAAAACCTGACTGTAAAGTGACAAAAATCCTAAAGATTTTCAGAATTCCTGATAGGACTAAACTACCCTACTCTAGTAGGTAAAAAGCAAACTCCAAATTTAATTATCCTAGTGAAAGGCTCCATGAGGAGGGGTGAGAGAAATTATTTTTCTCAAAGAAAAAAAAAAAGTCTTGTATCATCATTATGACTGAAGCATCGATTCAGAGAAAGTATTGTTTCACAGTTAAAAAGAATCAGTCCAAGCCTCTAACACTTCTGCTGGCAACTTTCAATGGGGACCAGCATACAGGCTGCAGTTTACTCATCCTGTAAAGGATATAATCTCTCCCCTCCCTAGCAGGACAATTAATTTGGCTTGATTAGTTTTATTGGTTAATATTTATAGGGGAAAAATTATATTGCTACTAATAAAAAGCACACATCAAGCTACCTCCAGTTATTTAATTCCATGTAATAAAAGATTTACTTCCATGGGAGAAATCCCCCCTACAATGCTGTTGTAATGACTCTCTTAGGATTGTGCCCATTTTTGGAGGAAAGTGAGACAGTAGAAAACCTACTATTAAATCAAATTCTGTAGCTATACAATGGTAAGAAAAACATTTTTGCTTGATGTTCCATAGCTGCCTCCAATGTAGCTGTTGTTAGATTATACTTACATTGAGTGGCTCTAGAATGCTCAGGTGAACCAAGCAGATCATCAGCTTCACTGTAATATCTATAGGAACTCCATCAGGGATAAGGCAGCTAACTTTCTCTGGAGCTACAAAAAGACAATGATATTATTAACAGCTGTGGGCTCTGAACTAAGACATCACACATCCTCAGTTCAGTTCTCCCTAGCATCTGATTCAGCTCCAGACAAATAAAAAGGAAGATTCTCCTTGTCCTTGACTTTAGTATGTGTTGGATCAGGCCCTCAAGATTCTCCTGATGCCTTCTCTGATTATTGAAACAACTCTCCACGAACTAATATTTTGCAGCATCAGGTGCATAAGTGCCATCACTTTCTGTGGACTTAAAGTAGTTGATGGTAATCAACACGTTGGTAAAAAGACATTCTTCTTCACAGAGAATCAAGTCCCCAGTGCCTTGCCTCTCCTCCTGTGAACACTTCCTTTATAAAACCTTCTAATATTGATTTAGCCACCAGTATCCCCAACTCTTTACTGACACATAAATAGACATGAACAAGCTACTTCTCTACATTAGACTGAGGATCTAAAGCCCCATGGAGCAAGGACCCTACTCTCTGCCTTTAATACACAGCAAAAACCTAAACTGTACTAACAAAACATACAATGAATAGAGAATGTCGAGTGCACTTTTTATGACAAAGGAGTTAAACTTGCTAATTAAATACTAAATCTTATTAAAATGCCCCCCCAAAAACTTTGCTAAGAATTCAAGGAGTTTCTTGTGAACACACTGTCAAGGAATCCTCCATTATTAACATGCAAGACAGCCTTAATTGAAATGCCTTACCACTAAAAGTATTCCACATTCCTTAGGTCTATCACCACCTTCCTTTTACTTAACAAGTAACCACACACAACATTATAGCCAATTACTATAAATAACACTTGGAAGGATTAGTCCATGTCCACAGTGAATCAATATGTGCTATGCCATGTGTAATACATACTTCTTAGGTAATTTCTGATCTATACTTGAAAAGTATAAAAGAACAAAATTTCAAATTGGACCATGTTTGGAAATGGAGTGTTTTTAGAGTTTGGATGCAATGTTCTTTAATTGAAATGAACAGACCATAGACCTTTTCTAGACCAAGTCCCACATTTCCTTCTCTCCAAAACCGCTGCTTATCCCAGACTTGATACAATGATATTGATCAGGATACAGATTTAAAGTAGATTCAGAATTACATTGCTCACAGGCAGCACTGGATTCAGGTGGCACGTCTTGATAGTCCATCACTTCCACTTGGCTTTCTTGGATTTTCACAACAGCTACTGTGTTTGTTTCTTGTCAAATGTGAAAAAATATAGATTAAGTTCTTTTGCAGTTTTCAGTGAAACCAAAATTATTTTATTTAGTTTCTGTACTTCAATAGCACGTTTCTGTTGCAAACTGCTGAAAGCTAGCCATCTTTTCAAAGGATAGGACACAGAGACATTTAAAAAGAAAAAAACAGGGGTGGGAAAATAGGAGTAAGCTCCTAAAGGACTATCTAGGTTTTTCTTAGTTAGTAGTATAACATTAATCACACATAGCAGCATGCAGTAATATGTACTTTTATTTCTTGGCTTGTAAATTTTGCAGGTCAGAGATTGTTTAGCAGCAGAAAGGCTGAAGACAGTATCTATCCTTAAAAAAAAAATCCCAATCAGAGAGATTTTTGCTTTACTGTTAATTTGTATCTTATCTATGGTGTAGAGCAATGGTTTTCAACCTTTTTTCATTTGCAGACCCCTAAAAAAATTGAGTGGAGGTGTGAACCCTTTGAACTGTAAGTGTAGATATTCACAGACTTTTGATTAATCATAGTCACCTTTTGCAAACCCCTTAGATGTAGTCTGCGGACTCCAGGGGTCTGCAAACCACAGGTTGAAAACCATGGTGTAGAGGCCAAAGCCAACAGAACTTTTCCTAGAAAAGGAGCACAGGATCAAGTCCTATATTTCCACTGGGTTTTGTATTTGACTGCTCATCCATAAACCACATAACAGAGTCTGGGGAAATACTATAGCATTGATCTAATTTCTAAAACTAGACAACGCCCTTTTACAGTGCATCTGACTGAACTGAGAAATGACTTTCACAAGCAGGAAACTTTCCCAAAGAATGCTTGTTTCATGCATTCCATGCTTTCAAACGATTATTTCTGGATCTGTATAAACAAAAATACTTGAACATACAACAAAAACATAGGTTTAAAAAACAAAAAACCCAAACCCATGGGTTTGTTTCTTTTGGCTCAGAGACTGAGATTCTAGAGTCAGTATGCCAACAAGCTGATGAGGGGGGTTTCAAAAACTACTTATCTAAGAAAAATAAATGGTCTGATCTCAAAACTCAGTGGAATTTTAACAATTTAATTGGTCTCTGTTGTGTTATACCTTAGGCAGTAGTCCAAGCCACCATATCTAACTGAAAACCTGAGTAATTTATTGTAAGTTGGGTAGATGATGTACAACTTTAGAAAAATCTGTAAGAGGCATCACTGTAATGAAGACAAAGTGTGATATACATTACAAAAAACAGGAATTACACTAACAGAAGGACTCGGGCAACTATAGGTTGTCCGGGTCCTTTAACTATAGTTAAAGTCTTACTTCAATCCTGGGGAAACTCTTTGAGAAGATCATCAAGGAGCACATCTGTGATGTGCCAGCAGCAGGGATGATGCTCAAGGGCAACCAGCACAGTTTCATTAGGGGCAGGTCCTGTCAGACCAACCCGATTCCCTTCTATGATCAGGTCACAAAAGCATTGGACGCAGGTGTCGTGGTGGATGAAGTCTTTCTGGACTTCAGCAAGGCCGTTGACACAGTCTCCCCCCCATTCTCATCAAAAAACTAGGTGACTGCGGCATTGATGCCTACACAGTCGGATGGATTGCAAATTGGCTGAAGGGTCGTACTCAGGGGGTAGTGATGGACGGGTCTTTTTTGACCTGGAGGGAAGTGGGCAGTGGAGTCCCCCAGGGTTTGGTCCTTGGGCCCGCACTGTTCAATTTCTTTATGAGTGACTTGGATGACTGGGTAAAAAGCAGCCTGTTTAAATTTGCTGATGATACCAAGATTTGGGGTGAGGTGGGCATGCTAGAAGGGAAGGACAGATTACAGCATGACCTGGACAGGTTACAGGGGTGGGCTAATGAAAACAGGATGGGTTTCAAAACTGAAAAGTGCAAGGTGCTGCACTTGGGCAGTGGGAACCAGCAGCACACTTATAAGCTGGGAAACTCCCTTCTCGAAAGCACGGTGGCAGAAAGAGATCATGGAGTCATTACTAACTCCAAGATGAACATGAGCTGCAAATGTGAGGTCACGGTCAGTAGGGCTAACCGTACCTTGTCTTGCATCCACAGATGCATCTCAAGCAGGGCCAAGGAAGTGATCCTCCCCCTCTATGCGACACTGGTCAGGCTGCAGCTGGAGTACTGTGTTCAGTTCTGGGCACCGCACTTCAGGAGGGATGTGGACAGCGTTGAGAGGGTCCAGAGGAGGGCCACCTGCATTCCGGGGACAGCAGGGCAGACCCTACAAAGAGAGGCTTCGGGACCTTAACCTGTTCAGCCTTCGCAAGAGAAGGCTGAGAGGGGACCTGGTGGCCGTCTATAAACTCACCAGGGGGGACCAGCAGGGTCTGGGAGAGACCCTATTTCCCCTAGCGCCCCCCCCGGGGTAACAAGGAATAACGGCCACAAATTGTTAGAGAGTAGGTTTAGACTAGACATCCGAAGGCACTACTTCACAGTCAGGGCGGCTAGGATCTGGAACCAACTTCCAAGGGAAGTGGTGCTGGCTCCTACCCTGGGGGTCTTTAAGAGGAGGCTTGATGTCTACCTGGCCGGGGTCATTTGAGCCTGGTTTTCTCTCTTGCCCAGGGCAGGGGGTCAGACTTGATGATCTGCAAGGTCCCTTCCGACCCTACTTCTATGAATTTATGAATCTAGGAGCATCTCACTAGCCACATCCTAGACTTTTACCTTTATTCTCCTCAGAAGATCCTTTTTCCGTAGCTTTCTTTTCAAGAACTATTCCTGAAAAATCTGTAATAACCTAAAAATGGAAAAAATTCATATCCTGTTAAAATAAAACCAACCCCATGCAGCAACTGTTTTAGTTAAACAGCTTCCAAACACAGTTCCTGGCAAAGGAATTTAAAAGAAAGGTAATACCAGGTAAGCTTCCACTGTCTGGACCACATCTCGATACAAACACTGCCTAGTAAACCTAGCTACCCACCCTTCAATCTTTTGGAGGTGCAGACCAACTTCTCTCAGAGTGGCAACATTTAGAATAGTATTTAGTACATATTAACTTCTTTTAAGGTCATCTGCCAAAAGGACCATATAGCCAACTAAGCTCTTTACATAGTTCTAGAAAGTATTCCTTGGGCTACAATTTTGTGTTTTGTGGGGTTAATAAAGTCTGTAATGTAATCTTGAAGGAAGAATGCAGTTTCCTTCACTATCAAAGATTCAAATCTGTATATTGACTTAGTATTTCTGATTTTAAAATTGCACTCATTTTTCAAACAAAATATCAAGCAGCACCAAGTTGACTTCTCAATACCCATAAAACACAAGTTAAATAAATCAGAAATGGCTAACCAACAAACCTCAAAAGACATTGTTCCACAGGGAATCATCACTGAATGGAGCTTTCAGTGTGCTTTTTCATAGGATTAGAATGGGACTGGATACTACAAATGTTCAATGATATGGAAGTAAATATTTTTTTTTTTAATTATGGCTGATAGAATCTGGGTGAATGGATAACAAAGAGGACAAAGAAACAGATGGTAAGATGAGCTCATTCAAATGAACAGAGTTTTAATATGACCAAATGCAGTTACATAATCAAGGGGAAAAAAAGAGTGCAAGGTGTACCAACAGGGCTAGGGACAGAAGTTACACACAAACCAATTTAAGTAATCAGAAACTGGTTTAAACCTGTAACAGAACATACATTCACTGCACATAAACCAGTTTTAAAATGGTTGAAACTGGTTTAAGAAAAATCTGATTGACTGTAGTATCAGACTTAACTGATTTGGGTCAAACCAGTTTCTGAAATGTCTGTCCCAGGCCCCCTTCTGGTTCAAGTTAAACCACAGCTGGCGGGGGGGGGGGGGGCAGGTCCCATTTGCAAGCTAGCTGCTAACTGCCCCACCGATGGATCAGGGAAAAGGCCTGGGACCTAACTCACCCCTGCACCTCTTTCCAAGCCCCATGCTTCGATCACCCGATCAGGGCACGGGGCTGGGACCTGCCCCTGACCAGAACAGTTGCCGGCCAGTCCTCGGCTGCATGGGGCAGTCTGCATGTGCAGGCCCAGAGCTAGCAGGGGGCTGCCCAAAACAGGATAATTGTCAACCACCTCCAACCTGCACGTGCTTCCCAGTCAGGGGCAGGTCCCAACCAGCTCCAGGCTGAGCGGGGAACTTTTCCCATGCAAGGAGCTCCCAGCCCCTGCTCTGCAATCCCAGAGTGGGGGCTGGGGAGCGTGTTCCCAATCCCCACTCTGCAATCATGGGGCAGGGGCTGGAAACAAGCTCCCCAACCCCCACTCCGCAATCAGGGAGCAGGAGCTGGAAGCTCCCTACTGCCAGGGCAGGGGGACATTGTCCCCACCCGGACATGCAGCTTTTTCCCCAGAAGGGAGCTCCCAGTGCCAGCTACACAGTCACAGGGCCACTGCTGAGAGATGCTCATCTCCCAGCCCAGCCCTGAGATTGCGGGGCCACTCTTGGGAGACCCTTATCTCCCAGTCTGAGCCCCACGGTGCTCCATCAAAAGGGGACAGGAGATTTAAGATTTTCCGTATAGCTCAGGCTGGGAGATAAGGGTCACCTGGAGCTCCCTGCTGCCACAGTGGGGGACATATTCCCTGCCTGGACTCTTGTGGCACAGCCCACCCTGGCAGTAGGCAGCTCCTGGGGGCAGAGAGCTATCTCCCACCCCCTGGTGGATGGCTGACTGGGAGCAGATTTTGCTCCCAGTCAGGCATCTACACAAGCACTACGGCACTGTTACTAATGCCGAGTAAATTCGCTACTTGCACTTGCAGATAGCAAATTTACTCAGTATTAGGGAGGTTTACTGCAAAGTAAGCATGTGCATGTATAGTGTGTAAGGAACTCCACAGGGAGAAAAATCCCAGGTGCTAGACTAGTAGGCTCTTTAACAGAGAAAGACATAACAAGAATGGCTGGAAACAGAAAATAGCATTTTTTTCTTTTCTTTTTCATTTGCAGTAACTACTGAAATAACTATGAAGGTAAACAGTAGGTTCTCCATCAAGACTGGATACCATTCTGGAATATGTAAGAAGCATAAGTCACTTTACTTAACTAGGGGTATCTAGTGATAATCTAACAATGGATGACTTAAAAGCATTAATTCTGGCTTTAAATTAAATGAATAAATGTGGTGGACACAGAGCCTAACTAGCTGGCTTTATCAGCAGTGCACCTGATAAGAAGAAAACCATTTGCAAACCCATTCTCTTGAAACAGCATGTGCCTCCCACAGGTCTCTGATTTAATAAATAAAGCTTTTGATGTTAGTGTCAATTGCTGGCAAAACTGCCAACACTGATCAGGCAAAGGCAACTGATCCATCACTGCCACAAACTAGGAATACTATGCTTAAAAAATATAAAAAACATAAACTATCCTAAAGTTCGCAGAATTGTTAAGTCAGATTTAATGCTCATACCGCCAATGCTTTGTCATACTGTTTGCAGGAGATGTATAGTTCAGCAGCTATATTAACATCTTCCATGGAGACAAGGCTCTGGTGTTTAGTAAAGGCTTCTTCTATGATCTCAATAGCAGAGGTGACATCATTGGCTTCATAATAACTCCTGTGAAAATATGGACAGGAAGTACCAAATACTAGTGACAACTGTGCTACCTATGAGAAGCCCACTAAGCAACTAAGTACTGTGAATGCATTCTTTCACGATTTCCATCAGTCTTCTTTTCTAGCGCCTGTGCATTTTTATTCGAGTAGATCAATTTCTTTCTGAATGTAAAGAGAAGGGAACATATTTTCTCCCACTCATGATTATTTATTGCAATACAACCAATTTCATCACCGTCTTTTCTGCTATATAGTAAGTAACATTTATTTTTTTATTAAATTACTCCCTGCTTTTGTTTTTAGTTACCAGCCTTTATTGTATTAACATGTTTTCAGCTAAAACCCCAATGCTATTGTTAAAACTTGACTACTTTGCTTTATACTGTATGTCCCATCCAAGACTTTCAAAGGGCTTTTTCAATTCATTATTAATTAATTAACGTCACTTAAGCCTTGAGCGATAGGCCCATTATAACTTTCCCATTTAACTAAAGGGATCTGTTAATAGGGAAGTTAAGTGACTTGTAGAAGGTCACACAAGGAGAACCCTGTCAAAAAAGAAAACCTAGTTCTTCTGTTTTCCACTTGTATTTTAGGCATCATCCTTTTCTCTCTAAATCCCACTTCTAGGGGAGAGAACTGCGTCCATCAGCAGAGAAAGAAAAGATTTCCATTTGTCTAATGTTACTGCAGAAAGTGCAGGGCAATTTACTTACAAAATACAACTTTAGAAATACAGATAATTCAATTAAGAAATATCATGCTGAACTGAAAATTAAAAGAATAAACTCTACTGATTGCTACTAATGAGCACAAACTTATTTCCCCCTAGTAAAGCAAATAAAGATCCCTTTGGATCCAAACAGGGAAGAGATTTGTTGAATAAAAAGATTCTAATGTTTGTATGTATGTATGGACACACGTTTTTTACATCAGCAAACAAGGTTTACATTTTATTCTTTTCATTCTACAAAACTTCAATGTCTCCAGATGATGCATCAAGCATATCTGTGAAATAACTTTCCAATAAAACAAATCATTTAAAAGATACATAACAGCCAGTACATGCATAGAAGATTACAACTCCTCTACAAATTAGGCTCTTTAGAAATAGCATTATTCTAAAAATTTTAGAAGTTGCAATAAGATGCTTCCAATGTTTCTTCTAGCTCAGACAAAAGGAGTAAGCTTAAATTAAGCAATTTTCTTTTAAATTTGGGAAATCAAAGCATACTACTAGAAAAGGTAACTTACTTTGCCATGTCTCTGGCAAGCTGCATAAAACGTTCTCCATCAAAAGGGGACAGGAGATTTAAGATGCGTCTATAGCCATCCATTGCCATTTTATGTTCCCCCATCTGTTCATATAAGCTTGACCTTTCCCACAGATAACGTACATTGGTAGCATCATACTTCAGAGCTGCAACAAAGACAAAGCTCTCTATGATATGGCTGACTTTGAATAAGGCAAAACTAGGTTCTCTATGTTTGTTTGACCTGAATGATAGTAATAAAGCCTTTGTAAATGTCTTCTCAGAAGAAAGAATTATAGTAAACATTTACAGGTGGAGGAAAGTTTCTGTAACAGTATAAATCCACACTTATGCAGAATGTGCATCTGTTACTAATGGAAAAATATCTAATATGTTTATCACCTATTCCAAAAACACAGGTAATGGGGGTTGCTTGTTCATCAATAGTTGATATTTTTCTTTTAAAACAGATATACTATTACACACATGTGCACGCACACACATGCTTTTAGTAAGAAAAAGTCCTACAAAGAAAGACGGAGACTGTGGAAAGAGAAAAATTACATCAGTTTTAAACAAAGTTACTACAAATCTCAGAGAAGATTAGTCAAATTAGACACTAGTGTGAAGCAAAAGCAAAATTAGATGCTAAAGAAAGCCAAATTAGACACTAATGTGAAGCAAAAGATTGTCATTGGATTATTATCTTGGTAAGAAAGGAAAATTGCTGAGGGGGTCCAAGTAGAATGATTACAGTAGAACTGTCCAACCTCTCAGTTGCTAGGGAAGGCACCCTGCATCAGATGCACCAAAGGGGGCTGCACACCTGTGGGCCACGAAAGTGCGAGCCAAGGCTGCCCTCCTCCAGGCATTCCCCCGGCTGCATGGCATGTGTGAGCAACCACCGCATGTGTGGACAGCTCCCCCGTCCCACCACTCCACTGGGCACTCCCCTCAACTGCTCCACTACGCAGAGGGATAGACAGCCCCCCACAACTGAGCACAGCAGCAGCTGTTCTATTGTACATTTGCACAGGCAACCTGCCCTCCAAACTCACCAGCTATGAGCTCTCCTGTTGCACCAGGACACAGGCTCACTGCCTTGCCCTCTTGGGCAGGTGAAGTAAGCTGAAGCCAAAAGGAAAGCCCAGACAACCTGGCTGCAGCCAGAGCAATAGGGGGAGCAACAGTAGGGTGGAAGCCAAAAGGGATGGGGAAGGGGCACAGATTAACCCCTCACAAGTTGCAGGTGGTCCATGGGCCGCCACTTAGACAGCCCTCAGTTAAGGCATTGTGGTCCAGCTCAATACACATGAGAGCAAACTTTGCTTCAGGCTTGTGATGAAGATCATCTCCAGCTAACCCAGCTATAAATGGGTACTTAGGCTGGTGAGTACAAAGATAGGTGGACGCAATGCTGGCCCCATCACTTCTTCTATAGTGTTTAGCTACAGAAACTGGCACACCATAACCACATTAGCTTTTGGAGCCACTAGGCATCGACAAATTTGATTTTTTTGAAAGAAGTAATAAAATACTCACACCATTACCTTTTGTATAGCAAAAAATGGCCTGTTTAATATTGTCCTGTTCTAGTGACATTTCTGCTAGTCTAACCCACTCTTCGGTGTCACTAGGGTTTAAGTGAGCTGCAATCAATTCAAACTGCAATGATTTCTCCATGTCACCTTGGTCTTCATAGATCATGGCAAGAGTAGAAAATGGCTCATAAGCAAGAGGAGCTATTAAAAGGCAAAAAACAATCATTAGGCATTTTTAAACCATCTTGAAATCAGACATTTTGTACTTCTGCAGATGAAGTGCATGACAATTACATCAAACATAAAAATGATCTTGTTAAAATGAAAAAGAAACAACAGTTTTCTCTGCATGTAGGGAGGTCACAGGAAGTGAGTATTCTCCTCTATTCAGCACTGGTGAGGCCACACATCTGGAGTACTATGTTCAGTTTTGGGACCCCACTACAGGAAGGATGTGGACAAATTGGAGAGAATCCAGAGGAGGGCAACAAAAATGGTAAAGATGCTGGGGGACATGACTTACGAGGAAAGACTGAGGGAACTGGTCTTATTTAGTCTAGAGAAGAGAAGACTGAGGGGGGATTTAATAGCAGCCTTCAACTACCTGATGGGGAGTTCGAAAGAAGATGAAGCTACACTGTTCTCAGTGGTGGCAGATGATGGAAAAAGGAGCAATTGTCTCAAGTTACAGTAAGTGAAGTTTAGGTTAGATATCAGGAAGAATTTTCTCACTAGAAGGGTACTAAAACACTGGAACAGGTTACCCAGAGAGGTGGTGGCATCTCCATCTTTGGAAGTATTTAAGACCCAGCTAGACAAAGTTTGGCTGGGATGATGTAGTTGGGAATGGGTCCTGCTTTGAGCAGGGGGTTGGACTAATTGACCTCCTAAGGTCCTTTCCAACCCAAATTTTCTATGATTCTATGTAATTAAATAGACTAACTGAACATTGCTATCAGATTAGGTAGTGGTTTATCCCTGCAACAAATTATGTCTACAAAGCCACTCAGACCTCAGTCCTATGAAATCAACTGAATAAAGTACAAGACTAATCCACAGCACAAGTTTTTGCAGGATCACAGGCTTGGTTTCTTTTTTACAAATAGTAATAGAGCTCACTTCATGTTGGGATAGGAGTATTTCCAAAACACCATATTAGTGGTATGCCGAACTCAACTATTGATATTGCAGTCTAGTAAGTAAAAAAAACACATTTTTATACTGACCCCTTTGCAAATAATATAATTTCATATAATTTGTCTGTATTTAAATGGATGGCATTTTAAAGCCTGACATGCCAAAGAAACATCATAGTACCTTGTCTTATGATTTCCATACACATCAGTATAGCTTCCTCACGTTCTCCTCGAGCAAACCTAATGTTGGCTTCTCCCATGAGGCCTCTCAGGGCTCGAGGAAGTTTACTGCGAGGTCTTTTCTCCTAAATTGAAAGATCAGACCATATCTATAGATGTTTTAATTATGCCCAAATGAAAAACACATCAAGCACAAATGTCTGTCTAAATTATTCCTAATTTTAGTAATTTGCAGAGTAAACCTGACTACCACGTATCAAAAAAATTGGTCTAAAAGCCTGTTACAGAAAACTAAAAATTATTCTGCTTCATAGGCAGGTGCCCAACAAAGACTAGGGATCTGCAGTGATCTTCCAAAATATAAAGACATGTAAACAAAAACATTTATTAGGAACTGGGAGATATCACTGATAGAATTTAGTTTTAAAATTTTACCTCATGTCTCTAAAACAAAGCCACAAAAGAGAGTTTCAGTGACATCAACTATGTGAATATTCTTGCATCAAAATACTTGCTTTCATCATTTTCTTGTTCTCCCTGTTTAACACCATCTCCAATGCAAAAACATCTCCAGCTGAGGGTTGCTCAGAGGTTTCGTCATCATCTTCCTCCTCCTCCTCCTCCTCCTCTTCCTCCTCCTCCTCTTCCTCCTCCTCTTCTTCGTCCTCATTTTCTCCAAGCATGGAAGCAAAGACCCGATGGACAGATTTACTCACCCCATCTGATGTTTCGCCTGGTTGAAGAAAACCACAAAGATTTACAAGACATTTTGATGAGTCTCTGTGTGTTTATGTTCAAGCCCAGAGAAAACTCAACTAGCCATTTGTTTAACCTCTTAAGCACAAAACTAGAGTTCCTCCCAAGAGCACGAGACAAAGTGTTTCAGTATACTACAAAAAAGTCCAACCCAAAATAAAAAACCCAAAATAAAACAAAAAAAAATCACGTACCATTTCATCACTTTTACTTCTATTTTCCATCATTTAGATTTAAAGGTGAAGAACATGTTAGATCAAACTCATATTTGATATAGGCAGGCACAAAATCTGAGCTAAACAAAGCCCTTGTGAAGAAACTAGAGGTGCATCAATACATTGTTCCATATTGTATTGGCACCAATAAAAGGAAAATTTACATTGGCAATCAGCTTTTTTTGGTTGATGTGGCCAATAACGTTGCTGATAAATGCTGTGTGTATGTACGCAGCTGCAGCATGCATGGGGCTAGGAATGCAGCCTGGCAGCTTGGAGAACAACATCTGGCTGGTAAGTCTGTTGGGAAGAAGGGGGAGGGGCAGATTGAGCCCCTCCGCCCCAGCATTGAGAGGGGGAGTGGGGCTCAGGCTGGGGCTGGGGCAGGGGCTGCCCAGCTGGGGTGGGCCGCAGGACAGAGCTGGCAGCTCATCGGGGGGCAGGGGGGAGTGTAGGTGGGGAGGGGTGGTTCCCGCCACTGCGTGCACCAAGGGAGGCAGGGGGGGATATGTGCCTCCCAGAATTGTGCATGGGGTGAGGGCAGGCTGCCCACTGCACGCTCGGGACTGGGACTACTCCAGCCTCTTCCCCGTGGTTGTGCTCGGGCAGGGCAGGGCAGGGTGGCTGGCAGCGGTGCTGGGAAAGGGGACTATGGGGGAGAGTGGGGCTAGAACCACCCCAAATTTCACCGTAGCCTCCCCTCAGTGCCGTCGCTGCCCGCCCCACCTGGCCCAAGTACAGCTGCCGGGAAAAGGCTGGAGCAGCCCTGGCCACAAGCACACAGCGGCCAACCCACCCTTGCCACATGCACAGGCCCCCCATGCCTTCCCACGGATGCGCGCAGCAGCAGGAGCCACCCCCCCTGGATGAGCCGCCAGCTCCATTTTACGCTCCGCCCTGCCCCACCCAGGCTGGATAGCGCCTGTCCCTGCCCCTGCCCCAGCCCCTCCTTCCCTCACCTCAGGGACCTCAATCTGCTCCCCGCACACCTCTTCCTCCCCGTGTTCCTTCCTCCCAACAGACTTACCAGGCAGATGCTGCTGTCCATGATGCTGGGTTGCATATCAGCAATCAGATCGGTATCGGCTGATATGGCTGGTCAATAACTGGCAATCAGTATCAGCCCAAAAAATCTTTATTGGTGCACCCCTAAAACAAACACTAAAGGGTCCTACTGCAAGGCACTAAACTTCTTTAAACAACTATTTTCTAGTTTCTAAAAAAAATCAAATTATTGATACCCATATATCATAACCACCCTCTTGTCAAGTACAATCTAAGTGTTAAGTACAGTTCATCACTTAGATAATTTCCTGAGAATAAACATAAATTAGAGAAAAAAAAAATATTAATCTTTCAGTTTACTGAAATTAAGAATTATGTTTCTCCCCCAAATTATTAGGCAACCTGACCCATCTATGCCACAAATTTCTTAGAGGACTCTTCTTTTAAAGTTTTCTTTTTCTAAGCTGCTCCTGGTTGTAAAACCTTTCCCTTGCCCTTCATCAAAGAAGCTGAGGATACCTTTCCAAGACATTTCCAGAGTTATTTGAAATAGCAGCAATCAGAAACCAAATAAACAGAAAGATCATTACTCAATATTTTTTCTGAAGCCATAACAAGAACAAAGATTAATGCATGTTCCACCGCAAAATGGATAAATGAAGTAAACCCTCAAGCTGAAGTGGATAATTAATGGGCTCATAATTACACTGAACTAGAATACAGAAACCAATTACTGGTAATTTGGATTATGATTTTCCAACCAACTATGACTCAATAAGTACCTATCCTATCACCTATAAATTCAGACCTCAGAATCTCTTGTGAATCAATCCCCAAATCCTTTGCACGGGTAGTGTTTTAAGGACAAAACAAAATGCTGTGATGATCATTTTTAAGTATCTGTGCTACATGTCTACAGCAGGCATTTAGGATTTGATGCACAGAAATCTGATAATTTACATAAGCTTTTAAAAAGCTGCTCATTCCCACATATACCATCTATGAACCCACCTATGTGTAGAACGAAATTCACATTTTGTAGATTATCTTTAAAGAATATGCTAAAAAGGGACATCTCACCTGATAGCTTCAGGAAATGAAAGATGTTGGGAGATTTGAGAGAAACAAGTACGAATCAAAAGGCTAAACAGAAGCAGGCCCAACCCAACATATAAATATATTTCCAGTGCTTGACCTACTAAGACTTTCAGATGGAAAAAACTGACTTGTCTGGGAAACGTTTGTGTCCATGGAAACATCTTTCAAGCCCCTGACATGCAATTAAAGGCATGATGGGATCTGATGTTTGATCTGCACAATCACACTTCCTGCCATGCCACAGGGCATGATTGTGGGACTGAGTATCAGATCCCATCATGCAATACTGCTAGTGCTAGAGGAACTCAGGTTCCTGATCCTAGGCTTCCCCTACACAGGCAAGTAGCAAGCTTCCGCACCTGGGAGCCCCAATCAGCTGGTGGGACTCAGATGTTGGGACACATTGGAATCAAGGACTCTGATGTACCCCTGTGGCTGGAACAGCAATCAGCTTTTTGGCACGCTCAGCCTCAGGAGCACACTGGAGTCAAGAGTTCCCATATGCTCTGAAAGTTGGGAGCCCCAATCAGCCCAGCCACAAGTTCAACTAACGGAGCAATACGAACCAGCCATAAAGTTATTATACATATTTTGTGTAATAACTTTTGTGTCTTATTCTTTGTTTTATCATGCCTTTAATTGCATTAATGTATGGCTGGCTAATTTCTTAAGAAATGATTACTCCATGCCAGGAGCCTCAGTGTTATAAGATCATATTACTTCAATTTATGTGCTATAGCACAGGGCTTTACAAATTCTGAGTAGCCAAGGGACCACAAGTTCCCTACAAGCTACACTGCACTAGTATCCCCATGCTCTGAATGCCCTCCCCCATCAAGTCACATGGCAGGTGTGACCCCACTGTACTGTGATGGCACCCCACACTACACAGGGTTCCCAGGTCCCCCTGAGTCACTGTGTTGTGGGTTCCCTTGCCCCTGCTGCCCCGCTCCACTCTACCCTACCCCCAAGTGTAGGAGCAGGAAGCAGAAGCCAAAGGAAGGAGGGAAAGCTCAGAGACTCTGGTGGCAACAGATGGAGAAGTGGTGGGAGTGGCACCTGAACCATAAACCCAGGGCTGCAGGTTAAACCCTTGAGGGCCAGTTGTGGCCTGCAGGCTACCAAGTGGACAACCATGATACAGCAGATATTATATACCTGCCAGGCTTTTGAGCCTCTCTGGCTATTTCTAGTCCAACTTTAATATTAACCAACCCAAAGAAATGGGGAGAGATTCTCTTTTCATTGAAGTGTGCAGTAAATTCTTCCATTTCCTCTTTCTCTTAATCCTCTTGTTTGAATTGATCCACTGAAGATTGCAATAGCTCAGAGGTGAAGTCCACTGTGTAATGTTTCATAACATTCATCAAGAAAGAAAACCTGTCCCAATTGTCTTCTTATGAACTCTGAATGCAATTCTAGTGATTGCACTTTGGAGGATGTGATTCTAGTGACTGCTCTTTGGCAGTGTGAGAGGGGGCACTTCAATGAGAGTGGCTCCAAGATCCACTCTAATTAAAACACCCACAGCATCTTGTGAATCAGTGTCCCCGTGCTTCAAAATGGCAGCATGGGCGCTTTAACTAAAGCTTGTTTGATGAGTTTTAAAGTGCTCCCTCCGCCATTTTGAAGCATGGGGACACTGATACATGAGATGCAGAAGCTGGCTGGAGCATGCTAATTAGCACGCTCCAGGAGACTTGATTAATCGACTAATTGATTAATCGAGTCTGCTCTGATGTATTGTAATTACAGCCACCCAAAGACTGCTTGATGAGGTTTATGCAATGAGAGGTCCCAGATGAAGAAGAAAAATAATCTTTCTTCCTGGATTTGGACCTCAAAGCTCCGTAGGGTTTGGGATTTTCACTTCTGAGATGAAGGTTCTGTGCAATACCCCTAGCAGATGTTAATATAATGGTACATTTGGGTGTTGAAGAATACAGTATTATGCCCCATCCCATCTGGCACCATACCATGTCAGATGCATGGGAAAGGTGGACATCCACCCTGAAAACAATCTTTGCAGATACTCTGCAGATGAAGGGAGCAGAGGGAATCCAAGAGCCAGTGCCCAGATTCAGAGGTCAAGATTTACTCTCTATTGACCCAAAGAATGAGGGCCTTGTTGAAAGTTACCATTTACCATGTATTTTATCTAGATCAGGAATGCTCAACCTCCAGCCTGCGGACCAAATGAGGCCTGCAGAGCCTTAGAATCCGACCCGCGGGGCTGGCCTTGGGTCAGGAAATTTGTCAGTGGAAGCAGTGACCATAAATACAGTCACCCTCCCTCCTGCCAGATTTCCAAACCCCAAGCCCTGCACACATGGTCAGAGCCACACCGCACCCCTCTGACCTGGGCCACACCCCGTTTTTCCCTGCAGGGATGACCCACATACTAGGGGTGTGCAAAGCGGGCCGTATTCAATTCAGATTCGGCCCAAATTGGGGGACAGTGATTCGGTTTGTTGATTCGGATCACGGTCCCGATTCGATTCAGCCAAATCTGAATCTGAAGATTCGATGCCAATTCAGAGAATCAGCTATTCGGCCATAGACATAGCTTTAAACGTTTTTTCTACAAACCTTGAGGTACCAGGCACGACTTGTAAACAGTGAGATGATGAAGCAGATGGAGCATCCAAAAGGAGTACGGTGGGGAGGTGGGGTCCCCCGCATGCTCGGTGGCGGACCCGGAAGTGGACCAGAAATACTTCCGGGTCTGCCACCATGTACGCGGGGGACTGAACCACGCCCCACCCCACCCAGGCCCAGGAAGCACCAGTCACTGAGCCGGGGAAGTGCTTCTGGTCCACTTCCAGGTCCATCGCTGAGGACCCCGCCGCGCTCCTGTGGAATGCTCTATCTGCCCCAACATCTCAGCGTTCACGAGCCGCCTGGTACCTTGTAGTAGAAAAAACATAAAGCTGTGTCTATGTCCGAATTGTCAAATCTCTCCGAAATCTCTTAAAGGGTCTCCTGATTTGATTTGGAGATTCAACAGCCAAATCAGGCTGAATCTCTGCCAAATCAAATCAGCAACTGAAGTGTCACACAGCCCTACCACACACCCCTACCACACACCCCCTTGCAGGGCCAGGTGACACCCATTATTCTCCACAGCAGAGCCAGGTTGGGGTCGTGTCATACCCCCTTCCTCTCTGTGGAGCTGGGTGAAGCCCTGGGGCTGGGTTTGGGCCAAGCCACGCCCCTCCCATAGCCAGGTCATGTGGGCCCCCTCCCACAGGGCAGAGTCATATTCCCTTTACGCACTCCCACACTCAGGGCCAAATGAAGCCCCTTTCCCTCACTTGTGAGCCTAGGCTAGGCTAGGCTAGGCTAGGCTGCCCCCCCCCCGCCACTTCTATGGGGCTAGATAGGGCCCCACTGACCCACAGGCCCAAGGCACTGGATTGGAACCACAGCTCAGATCTGGCCCACAGGAGAACCAGGTACTACCCATCCAGCCTGCTGGGGAAAAAGGTTGAGCACTACTGATTTAGATCACAGTAAGCATTACTATGAGTCAGAGTTACTATGCATTACTGTGAATTACAATGACCTACATTAAACACATCCTAAGCATTGAAGCCATTGAAGACTCCAGTGTGCTACAGGAGCTGGGAGCAACAAAGAGCTATTTGTTGGTTCTAGCCCCACACCATACAGGAGTCTTGAATCCAGTCTACAATGGTGGGAGACTTGGGAGTGAAAAACAGCTGTTTGTCAGTACCAACTTTGGCATCACCCCAGAGTTTCCTGTTTGTATTTTCTCTGTGAAGCAGCTGGACATTAGCTGAACTTGGGTTAGGTAATGCAATCTGGAGATATTTCTCACCAGAAGTCCTAACTTTGCTACGCAACAATTATTTTCTCCTTGCAGTTAAACACATACTAAAGTGTAACATGTGACAAGGCCCTCATATTGAAATCACACGAGGTGCCCTCTGGCAGCCTCAGCAGCATAGTCTGCAATGGGATGGAACCAGAAGCAGGCTGCAAGGTCCAAGTGTCAGCCTAAATTCCAGTACCTGAGAAGCTGGGGCTGTTAATACTAGGACTGGCTAGAAAGGCAGAACTGGCAGGTATTCTTTCTGCTTTTATGGACCTGCTGTCTTTTACTATCCTAGAAGCCATATTTCTTATATCTAAGGTGGCCTCTACTATCAGTGTATCTGAAGGAGCTGATGCTAATATAACCCTTCCTTTGCCAGGCAGTTTCTGCAGGAGAACCAGTAAATAAGCTAGTAGCCAGAACTGTTGAGAAAAGGAAGGTCTCACTGGGAAAGAGACTGTCCTTGAGAAAGGAACAAAAAAAAGTCTCCCCTTTAGCAGGTTAGAGGGAAACTGAGCAAACCAGGCCCCTCAGTTATAGTACTTCTTTCAGAGGGCACAGAAAATAAAACAAACATTGCTATACTAGAGAGTCAGAAACTCTGGACAAACCTGAAACTTCCAAGAAAACAAAGGTCTCTCAGAAAGGGAAGAAAGCTGAAACACTTGAGACAAATTTGAAAGTTTTAAGTTTTTCCTAGTTCCACAGCTCTGGAACCCCAGGAGATATGAAAACCCGTATTTAAGTTGCCAAGAAGAAAAAACCTTTTTCATGCAACTAACAGATCCTTTTCCGCTGGAGGCACAGAACAAACATAAAGCTCTTCTGGGATGACAAGCCTTAATATCATAGAATCATAGAAAGAAGGACTGGAAGGGACCTATAAGATCATCAAGTCCGGCCTCCTGCCATGGGCAGGAGGCAATTGGGCTCAAACGAGCTTAACAAGGTATTTGTCCAGCCTCCTCTTAAAGACTGCCAGAGATGGCGACTGCGCCATCTCTGCTGGAAGTGTGTTCCAGATTCTAGTTATCCGTACAGAAAAGAAGTTTTTCCTTATGTCCAGCCAAAACTTTTCCTCGACTAGCTTGTGTTCACTGGTCCACGTCTTCCCCGGGTGGGGCTTTTCTGAAAAGTTGTTCACCCAGGTCCTGGTGTTCTCCCCTGACACATTTGTAGGCAGCAATCAAATTGCCTCTCAGCCTTTTGCTCAGGCTGAACAGTCCCAGATCCTGAAGTCTCTCCTTACAGGGCCTGTCCCCCAGACTTTCGATCATGCAGGTGGCCCTTCTCTGAACCCTTTTGAGCTTATGCTGTTCTTAATATCAATAAGAACAGACCTATACTCTATATTTCAGTGCAACAGCTAACTATTTGTTACAGACAGTATCAAAGTATTGGTTATAATAACCAGAGACAGATTTTTTTTTTTCTCGTTTCTTCACTTAGATGAACACACTGGCACATACCTTCTGTATCATTGAGACACTGGGATTTACTAGATCCTTTTCTAGATGAAGATGGAGCATCAAGGTTTTCTGTATTTTCCTCAGTAGGTGAATTTTCTTCATCCTGCAGAAATCAACAATATTATTCACAAGGCTTGCAATAGAACACTGATCTATTTTAATTATCATCTATGGTTCTGACTGGTATTTAGATTCATATGGATTCCAATGTTTTTGTATTAGAGGTGGTACAGCTTTAATGGAATTGGTACCAATGTTGATTGGTTATAATATACTTTGATTTTTGCTAACAGTCATATTGTTACTACTTACTCTGGTCCTAATTTTGTCTTGACTGATGAGTCCTGAAGTATCCAACTTCCTTTCAAACACACTGAAATAAGATTATATGATGCCAGCTCCAAGACACCCCCCCCACACACACACACGCACAAAAAAACAACAAAATTATAAGCAAACATCATGAATCCTTTCACAGAAGTTTGCCTCCCTTATCTGAAATAGCTATTCGCTTGAATGCCAAGTTGCTGGTAAGGGGAGAAAATATTAATACAGCATTGAAGTATTAATGTGCTATTTCACACATTGCCAAAACAGAGTTTAAAAATGCCCTCAAATCTCTGAAAACAAAGAAATACAAAGTTAAGGTACATCCTAAAACAACCTGAGCTCAGCCCTCTTTGATAATGCCTCACTTATAACGTACTCTACCTCTGCAAACAGTCCAGTACAAGCAGAGACTGGGAAGTATGATAAGGGTCAGGCAGGGTCTAATGCTTTCTCTTACGTAAAAATTGTTTTTCAGTAAGCTGTGCACTCTACAGCTCACTGCAAGGAGGCCTGCACGCACCTGTTTCCTTGTACCAAACATACACACTGGGCACGTCTATGTGAGACACTATGTTGTTGTAACAACGAGCTACTGCGCCATAGCTTGTTGTTACAGTGACATAGAGTCACTGGGCAAAAATTGTGATGGGGACGCTACTGCACAGTAGCAGCTAAAAATAACTATGCGGCGACAGGACTGCAAAGTAGCAACCACACAGTTGGCTGCTGGTGTAGACACGTCCACTTGATAGCAGAAGATAGAGAAAAGTAGATCAGGGCCTGCCAGGTGTCTTCATATCACAGTCACAACTTAACTAAGCTGCTCCAACAAGTTCCACTTCCACTGACCCTCAAATCTGTCTGGAGTTATTGAGCACAGCCCAATGGTACCCAATGCACAGGCCAGAGGGGCACAGGAATGGTTCATGGGCCAGATCTGGAGACTGAAGTTTCATCATTTGCTCCATGAGACTGGAATTTGGCAGCAGCAGCACTCGTCGTTATGGCTCCTGGAGCTGCAGTAGCCATCACTCCTCCCACTGTCAAATCTCAAGCGCAGAACAAGTGACAATGCTCTGTCCTCTGGATCTGGACCGCGGGGCTCCCCACGGGTCTGGAAATGTGGTGGCAGGATGAGCAGTGGCAGCATTAACTGCTGGGAGCCACCGCAATTAACACTGGCATTGCTTGCCATGCCACCAAATGTCCAGACCTGGGGGGAGCCCCATGTATGATTCTGCAGGACGGATCCAGCCGGTGGGTCGTATCTTGGTCTCTCCTGACACAGACAGCTCCACGGCTCATTAAAACAAATGAAGTTAAGCAGAGACCTAACTACGGACTTTGGCGCCGGGGCCCAGCCCCCTCAGGGAGACGGTCTCACCCCGGCGGGCATCAGCAGCTTGGGTCCCTTGGAGCCGCACGGCCCCCCAGC